ACCATGGGGTGGTGGTGGTGGTGATGTTTCTGACGGCGGTGGAGCGGAAGGAGGAGGAGGTGGTGGATAAATAATTAATTCCATTTAAGGGCATTTCAGACTCTTTGCAAATAATCACAAATTAGACAAGCAAAATCAAGGAAACAAAACATGAAATTGTTCATCACGTGATTAGCACACACGTAACAATACCACAAACCAAAGGTAGTGCTTGTTGTTACACATCACCATTTTAATCCCAATATTTTATATCCCATCCCTACCTATCTATCCAAACTACTCAACCAAAAGAGCCCTTAATGATAAAATTCATATCAATATAAGATCGATTGTTTTGACCTAAAAGTCAAAATTCATATCAATATTATAAAAAAAACTAGTTATAATTAGTACTTTAAATTATTTTTATATTGTTTTTTAGTCCCAAAATAGTATTAAATTTCAATTTTAGCCAATGTTTTCCATTAGCATCTAAAGCTTATGTGACGGAGGGAACCAAATATATCTAAAATTGAACTTTTAAGATGTATATTAGAATAATATGGGCAAAAAGTGGAATCGGGTAAAATATGAAGGATGAAAAGTGTAATTCTCCCATATCGACCCACTCTAATAATATTTATCTGGGAATATGGTAGAAGATCCAGAAATTGGGGTTTGAGAAAAAAAATAATAAATAAAGGCGTAGTAAATTTGGAGGAACTATTCGTGTGACTATGTGCGTGTTCGTGAGGATTGGAGCGCCTTGTGTCCGCATCCATCAATTTGAGATCTTTCAGTTCGAGAATTAAACGACGGCGTTATGATCATATTTGAATCATACTGAACTCTAGATTTAATTCCGCAATCATCTACATCAATTGCATTTAAACTGCAATTGTTTTACGAATTTAACTGGATAATCGGACAAAAACTCCTAGTGATTCGATTGCCAACACTTTATTAGCTGTTTCTAAGACAAAACAATATAATATTTTGGGGATGTGATACAAAATCATGTAATAAACTTCTTTAGTTGGTGGTGGTGTTGCTAATAGCTTGATTATAATTGATGATTGAAATTGATTCGATTCGTGATCCAATCATGCTATATTAAGGATAAATTACAACCACCCTTGAGGTATGGTCAAATTACGAAAAAAATCTCTCATATTTGGTTAATTACATCTACCTTTCAACTATGAATCTTCTTACATTTCCACCCTTATGGTGTTAAATTCAACATAATTATCTAGATTCCGTGTAATGTTCTCTAGTTTGTACTCGTTTTGTGAAAAATACAGTTTAGATGCACTACAATCTGATATATACAAGCCAAAAAACACATCTTATGAACATTTAACTTCAAAATGTGGAGCTCGAATGGGATAAAACTAGTTTAAAAGTAAGAATATTTAATATAATCTAGAAGATTCCACTAAATTTGCAACCGCATGGGTGGACGAGTAAGAAGATTTATAATTAAGGGGTAATTGTAATTACTGAAACATGAGAGAAATTTTCGTAATTTGACCATAGCTCAGGGGTGTCTGAGGTAGTAATGTACCTAGGGGTGGAGATCGGACCGATCGGATCGGAATCCACCCCTTCGGAAAATTTCCGATTTTTTTCGGAAGTGAAAAATCACTTCCGGTTCCGATTCCGAAAATTTCGGAGTCAAAAGGTCGTTCCGATTTCGATTGCGAAAAAAAAATCGGAATTTCGGAATTTTCGGAAACATCGTTGATTATGCCCGGCGACTGAAGCACGGAAGAAAAGCAACGGCCACGGCGGAGATTTATAGAGAATAACGACAACTTTTGGCAGCAACTCCGGCGATCTTGAGAAAAAGGACGGTTGTATTTTGCAGCAATTCCAGCCTCTGTTTCGCGAAGGAAAGATATGGAAGTTAAGTGTTATGACTCATATGGTAGAGAAGAAGAGTCGGCGGTCGAAAGAAAAAAAATAGTTCAGAGGAGGGAGCTGTTAGCGGCGCAAGAAGAAGTAGAAAAAAAAAGTTCAAAGGGGGGAGATGTGAGCGGCGCAAGAAGAGGAAGAAATTAGGGTTTTATTATAAGTTTGTGGTATTTACTGTTTAGTCCTTCAAATTCTGAATATTCAATATTTGGACTGATCCATTTGCCTTGCTGGGCTGCCTTGCTAAAGTGGGCTTTTCAAAGCCTAACTAGAAACAATATAGTAAATTAGTAATGAAGAAATATTAATAAATTTCGGAAAATTTCGGAAAATTTCGGAAATATTATCGGAAATTTCGGAATTATTTTCGGATTGGAATTCGGAAATTCCGAATAATTCATATACAATTCCGATTTCGATCCGATTTTTTCGGAAAAAAACGGAAATCGGAATTTCGAAATTCGGACTACAAAAATTCGTTCCAAAATCGGAAAAAATCGGATCGGATTCGGCGGAAATCGGAAATTTCGTTCCGATTTCCACCCCTAAATGTACCCTATATTAAAATATGTAAAAATAAACCCCAAATTAATTTGACAGCTTGGAGGAATCAAAATTATTGTAAGTAATAACAAACAAAAATAATGAGTAGATGTGACATTAAATTATATATCCACCACTCATCATCTAATTCCAAAATATGAAATAATCCTTGTCAAAACATATACCACACAGATTCCCAACTGCCCATCTGAATCTTCTTCCTCTGTTTCTGATCAATCATGCTCACCACCAAGTGTCTGAGCCTCCACCCCCACCACCACCACCACCCCAAACCCAAGATCTTCTCTACCCTGAAAACAAAGCCTTATTACAACTCTACCCTTCCCCAAAACAAATGCAACAGATTCTCCCCATTTGCGATGACGTCATCATCATCATCATCTGGCGGGGACCACCACCACCACCACCAATCTCTGTTCTTCGAACCCGACCCGACCCTAACCAACGACGATCTCAAGCCGACCACGTCCGATCAGCGCACCTTCACCGGCCTAGAAATGGCCAGTTTGTGGGTGGGGCTAGTCGTCGGAGTTCCGACGTACTACCTCGCCGGAAGCTTGGTCGACCTCGGAATGGCGTGGTGGCAAGGAATCGCCACCGTCGTCGCCGCCAACGTCATCCTCTTATTCCCGTTAGTCCTCACCGGCCACCCGGGCACCAAATACGGAATCTCCTTCCCGGTTCTGGCCAGATCCTCCTTCGGAATACGTGGGGCCCACATCCCGACCCTCCTCCGGGCACTCGTCGGCTGCGGCTGGTACGGAATCGAGACTTGGATCGGCGGCGAGGCGATTTTCCTCCTCCTACCGGAAACAGTCAAACAGTCAACGCTCGCGAAACCCTTGCCCTGGCTCGGAACCTCACCCGTGGAATTCGCCTGCTTCATCGTGTTCTGGTCGGCGCAGCTGGGGATCGTGTGGCGGGGGATCGACGGAATCCGCGAGCTCGAAAAATACTCCGCCCCGATCCTAATCCTCCTCACCTGTTGCCTTCTTACCTGGTCGTACGTAAACGCCGGCGGATTCGGACACATGCTCTCTCTCTCTTCGTCGCTCTCGAACTCGGAGTTCTGGTCCCTCTTCTTCCCTTCGTTGACCGCCAACATTAGCTTCTGGGCCACACTCGCGCTCAACATCCCTGATTTCACGCGCTACGCCAAAACCCAAAAGGATCAAATCATCGGCCAAGCCGGCCTCCCTATATTTATGGGCGCGTTCACTTTCGTCGGCTTGGCCGTAACTTCTTCCACCAAAGTGATCTTCGGGACTTTGATCTCGAACCCGATTCAACTCCTTGGCGCGATCGGAGGAGTTTGGACAAAGATTTTGGCCATCGTTGGCATAAGCCTCGCCACCATAACCACCAACATTGCCGCCAATGTGGTTGCTCCGGCGAACGCGCTGGTCAATCTCAGCCCGTCCAAGTTCACGTTCCGTAAGGGGGCGATGCTGACGGCGTTGCTCGGGATCGCGTTTCAGCCGTGGAGGCTTCTCCAGTCGAGCGAGAGCTTCGTGTACACGTGGCTCGTGGGGTACTCTGCTTTGATGGGGCCGATTGGGGGGATTATTTTGGTGGATTATTACTTGATTAGAAATGCGGATTTGAGTGTTCGGGATTTGTACACTTTGAGTCCGAAAGGGGCTTACTATTACTCCGGTGGGTACAATTTGGCGGCAGTGGCGGCATTGATCGTGGGGATTTTGCCGGTGGTTCCGGGTTTCTTGAATAAGGTTGGGGTTTTGGGTTCGGTCGGTGGCGTGTTTACCGTAATTTACAACAATGCCTGGTTCATTAGCTTCTTCTCGTCCGGGATTTTTTACTGGATGATTTCGTCTGTTAAAAGAAATCGGGACAATCAACAGCAAATGGAACCCTTGCTACCTCAATCTTAGTTCTTTTTACCATGTTTGTTTTCACCTTTTTTTATTTTGTAATATATGTACATCTTTTATGTGGTTAAAATGATCTCGAGCTTTGTTTAGCTGATCGAGCTCACGAACCAGCTCAGCTTATTCACACACCTCTAAGTTCGACTATGGTTTTTTAGTAGTCAACTAGTAGTTGTCAATCAATATTTTAGTTACTGGTCTATATTTTTTAAGTAGTCCATATGAAGTTTTTTAGTTGGTCCCTTGTTTTCTTTTAACTAACAATTTTTGCTAGTCAATTGAGGCCTCTTTGATCAGTGTGATTATACTTTATTAACTAAATAATAGGGGCTAGTAAAATGTTTGGTTGATTAATTTTGTGTTTAGTCAAGTTCGATGCTATATTTATAGCTCGCAATTAAATATTATTATTTATTAAATTAGTAGTAGCCATCCTCATGCGATTAATTTTGCGTGGTATTAAAAAAAAAAATACAATTTTGTCCTTAAAACAATATCTTATTTTTGTTAATCAAAAGACATTTAAGACAATTCACATTTAATATCAAAATTTAACAAACTTACTACAAGATTTAATCTAACAAACCAAACATCTTCTTGAGTAAATAATTTGTTCGTCAATGGGATATTAATTCAATCTTACATAATCCAATGTAATTTGATATAGGTAAGCAAACGAGGCCTTAGTCTTTTACTTAATCGACTAAATTTTTCGGCAATTCAACTAGGGTTATTAAGTTAGTCGACTAAATTTTAGGGTAAATTACGGCCACCCCCTGATTAAGGTATAATTACGACAAAACCCCTCTTGTTTGCATAATTACAACCACCCCTCAACTATATATTATCTTACACGTCCACCGTTACAACATCAAATTTACCTAGGAATGTTCATCAGGTCGGTAAACCAAACGAAAATTCATACATACCGATTATTGAACCGTTAATTCGGTGTGGTATCCAATTTTATTATATATATGTGTGTGTGTGTGTGTGTGTGTGTGTGTGTGTGTGTGTGTGTAATATTAGTATTTAAAATAAAATTAATTTTAAAAAATTTAAATTTTAAATATTTATAATAAAATTTTGGTAATTCGGTTATTTATCGAACCAAACGCTAAACGGTATGAAATTTTGGCGTACCGCAATATCTGTACAATTTTTTTCCGAATCAACGCCCCTAAATTTATCAACTGGAAGGATTCTTTCTTAAGATAATACATAGTTGAGGGGGCGTGCTTGAAATTATGCAAACATGAGGGTTTTTTTTCCTCGTAATTTGACCTTATCTCAGGGGTAGTCGTAATTTTCCAATTTTGTATGCATGAATTTAAGAGGACACCTAAAAATAATACCATTTTTTTCTCACTTCAATAGCACCAAAATAAAAATTAGTTAATTAATAGGTAATGACATGAGTACCCTTAATGAACAATACCACAAAAACATACAAAATTCTTTTTTCTTTCTTCAATACCAAATACATAGAAACCTTCAAACCCTTTTCCTTCTTCACAAATCCTTCAACCTCCTCCTTCTTCTTCCTCATAACAAATCCTCCTAAAAACTCTCAAAACCAAAGAAATCAAAACTTCACACAAGTTGCAAAATGGAGTCAAATGACAACAAGATGGTAGTTGAAGACCGAGGAGAACCCATTAAGGTATATATCCATGTCTTTTTTGAGCTTCGAACTCGATTTTGATATTTTCTTTTAGAAATCCGTCCTCAATTTTTCGACACATACATGTTGAATTTTGTATATTATTTGATATGTGTGTGTCGAAACTTTTGGACATAAATGTGTCAAAAACTCCCATAAATTCGACACAAATGTTTCGACAATGTTAAAATATACATTAATTAGAAAAACATAGTTGTCGACATATTTCTGTCGATTTTGTACAAAAATTCGTCTACAATGTGTCGAAATATGTCCAATTAATTCGACATTTTTGTGTCGAAATTTTAGTTACTACAATTTATTTAAATTCTCTACTTTTTTTGTAGATCGATTTTCCGATGCATTTACCACGTCAAATATATTCCCAACAAAAGAAGATTTATTGACATGGGTTCGTGAAGTATGTAAACGAATGGAACGGTAATGACGACCTCGGGTTCTAATGACTGGGAAAAAGGACGTAGAAGACCGTATGTGATTCTTGGTTGTGAGCGTGGGTTCCTTTATGGTGGCAAGCATGTGGCTGGTGAACATGACCAAAGATCAGGAAAAATGAGCACCGGTTCTAAAAAATGCAATTGTCCGTTTAAATTGAATGGGACAAAAGTAGATAAACAAGATGGAAAAGGTGGGTGGGAGTAGACTGTTAGCAGTGGTATTCACAACCACAGCTTGTTTGAAGCATGGCAAGGAAATTCTCATGCCAGAAGATTTATCAAAGGAAGAGACTAAACTTGTTCAAGATTTGAAAGGAATGGTGAAACCAAGGGCAATTCTAAGACTACTAAAGCAAAATGACGCGTCCAATGTAACTCGTATGAAGACAGTTTACAATGTTATCTAGAAGATAAATTTCGAAGAGTTATCTAGTAGATCTCAATTGCAATTTTTGTTCGCCAAGCTAAAAGAAGACGAATACTTCTCGTACCATAGATCGAATAATCGTAATGAGGTTATCGACTTGATGTGGATCCACCCGAAATGCATTAAGTTGGCACAGTCGTATCAGTACGTATTCGTCATGGATTGCACATATCAAGCCAATCGTTATGGACTCCCATTTGTTGAGATTGTGGGTTTTACTTGCACCAGCATGACGTTCTCGATTGCCTTTACATACTTGGATCACGGAAAGACAGAAAATTTCGAACGGGGGTTGCGTTGTTTGGTGAAGGTCATGAGAAAGTGTCAGCGACCTAATTGCATTGTAATAGATCGAGATTTGGCTTTGATGAAGCAGTATTCAATGTGTCTTGTGTCGGTGGTATGAGAAGAAGAATATATTGGCTAATTGTAAGAAAATGTTTCCAAAGGACAATAGCAAGTGGAAGTCGTTTCAGTCGGCTTGTTCGGCTCTTATTGAACGAGATACCATAGATATGGATGGCAATGGGGCGGGTTTTGCAATCCCCATCCCCGCCCTGCTAGAGATATCCCCATCCCCATCCCCGTTAAAATCCCCGAAGTTTATAAAATAAATCCCATACCCGCCCCGCAAAATCCCCATGGGTACCGCCCCACAAAATACCCGTTTTTTTTAAGTAAATAAATCTGCATTCTAATTATTGTTACGTCTTGTTTTTTAAAATTTTCTTGATAATTTGAAAATTGTCTGTTTCTACTTTTTATTTTTTTAATAATTAGCAATTTTAATATTTTTATTGTAAGGAACTCAAAAGTTAGTTTGATATAACTTAAAAATTCCAAAAAAAAAGGAAAAGAAAGATTTGAACAGTTACATTTCGACGCTTAGCTGTCGAAATTGTTTAAATTTTCGACAGCTATGTGTCAAAAATTGACATTTGTTTTTTTTATTTTTTTGATAATTAACAATTTAAATATTTTTAATTAAAGGAACTCAAAAGTTAGTTCAATATAACCTAAAACATATATTTCAAGTGTATTTGAACGTATAAAATCAAAATTGCAAAAAAAAAAAAAAAAAACAAAAAAAACAAACAAACAAAAAATCTAAAACAAACAATAAACATCGAAACTCAATTAAAGTTGCAAAAACTCCTTCAAGACAAAACAAACAAAATTCATTTAAAACATCGAAAATCAATTAAAATTAATCTTGTGTTTTTTTCGTCCTACTAAACAGACTTGTTTCATAAGTGGTTGTCCTTCTGACGTAGTATGAGGAGGAGGTGGAAGTGGGGCATCCGACGAGCCAGATGGAGGTGGTGGTGGGGCATCCGACGCGCTAGGAGGAGATGGTGGTGGGGCATCCGGCTCGATCAATCTGATAATGTTATTTATTGTCCCCCACATGACTGTATGGGCGTCGGATGATGCAAGTCCTCGTACCTCGCTAAGTATACCCTTCACCAAATCCAGAATTTGCAAAACTTGGTGACCATATAACCTAACAAAATAATTAATAAAAAATTTAGAAACCACCTCAAGTAGTAGTAACAAATTACTAAACTTGTATTTTACCTGATCTGGTATCAGATCAGCTAAGCGAGATCGCAAGTATATTGCTCGTTCAGGCGTCGAAGCAGACTTTAACCGAGGCTCCCATCGGTTGGCTAATGGCCCCTCGAACTCCATCTTCAATGTGCTACCCGCCAAATGCAAAAAGTGCTCGTAAATTCATGATTGGAAGAGCATTTGCCAGCCAGCCATCGAATTCGTTGAATTTTCTGGGCTGACGATAGTTCATGGTACAACCGGCAAAGACATGCAGTGCCTCAAACGTACTCGCCGATTCGATCCAAATCCGCGACGAGATTTAGATACTCCACGCTTACTATATTCTCAGACTTGTCGCACAATATGATAAACCCCCACAAAAATAACAAATATGGCCGAATTGCATATGTCCCTTCTCCGCACTGTGTCTCCCCGTCACCTTACTAAATTTGGTCTCCAACCATTCCAACTTGACCGCTTCTCTTATCCACATCTTCCATGTACTCACTAGCAATTTGAGCATCAAATTACTGACATTCTTGGAATCACCTGACAAACGTTCGCAAGATATAGTACGTCCAATCACCGGCAAACCAATCAATGTGCTCACATCATCAAGTGTGATGGTCATCTCTGCAACAGATAAATGGAACGTGTTAGTTGCCGGCTGCCATCTTTCTATGAAGGCTCTAGGTAGATGGCCATCCACAGTCTTGTACGAGGCGAGTACAAGTGACATCAATCGAGCTCTCTGTACGGCCTCCATAATAAACGGCGCCGACACCTAGCTCTTCAACGTCTTCGTGTGCTACCGAAATCGAAATTAGGCGCCGCGCTCCGAGCGCTCTGGACCTCCGTTTACAATATGATAATAATATTATTATCAAAGTTTGGGTACAAATCCGATATCTCAAGGCCTCGGATCGGTTGGTTTCTCGAACCACAGACTTCAACAGTCGATGGGAGAGGTAGAGCCGGCATGGGATTCGCTGAGGAAGAACCCTCTCCAATTGTGTAAGTGTACGTTGCTCCGGAGCCTTAAACATCGCAGACGGATTGCTCTTCGTCTTGGTTGTAATCTTTGTCTTGGTCTTGGTCATAGTTGTCTTGTCCTTATAGACACTTCATTC